ATCTGAGAGCTGACAGCGAGACAGACACAGCACTCTGATGACATATGATATTAAGGCAAATGAAAAAGGCTGGATGGATGAGGAGATGATGAAAGCGTGGCTGAGGGAGGTGTATGTGAGGAGACCAGGTGGTTTTTTCCACGCATCACCATCGCTGTTAATCTGTGACTGCGTGCCCATCTCACAGCCGATGTGAAAAAAAAGGTGAATCAAATGAACGCTGTTATCCCGGGAGGTCTGACAAAGGAACTTCAACCGCTCGACATCGGTGTGAACCGATGTCGAGCGGTTGAAGTTCCTTCAAAGTAAGGCTGCGAGCGGCGTGGGAGCGATGGATGGCCGACAGAGACCACAGTTTCAGGATAAGTGGAAGGCAGCGCCGGGCAAGTTACGCCACAGTTTGCGGATGGATTGTAGATGCTTGGACTAATGTGTCTGCTGGCTCTGTTGTTCAAGCTTTCGCAAAAGCAGGCATTATTTCTGAGGAGCCGCCCGGCACGGAAAGTGACTCTGACAGCGAAGAAGGGGAAACTGGCATGTATGATTTAGCGCAGCTGTTTATTCAGAAACAGAGGAGGATGACTTTGATGGGTTTGATTAATACTTTGTAATAAATACTTGAATAAAGCACAATCATACTCAGTTTTGCTCCCGCTCTATTTTTCTACCTGAAAACTTAATTCAACAGCAGCCTCTGGGCCGGGTCTCCTCCGGTTTCACCGCGGTGGCTGGCAGGTGTTTTTTCATCTAAATAATCTAAATCTTCCAGCTATATTTGCTGTGATCAGTGGGAATAAAGTAGTTTTAATATGTTTTTAAGTGAGAAAGGCCACCTGAAAACTTCATAATTGCAGTCAGTTCATCCAGATTATCTATTTCTGTCGGAGGCGCTCAGACCCCCACATACCAGCGGTGCACCGACAGTAGAAGTCCCTTCATCAGCAGCCTCTAGGCTGGGCAGCCTCCGGGTTCACCACGACGGCTGGCAGGTGTTTTTCATCTAAATAATTTTAGCTGCAGGCACCAGGATACCGGTAATAAAAGCGAACAAATTCCGTTGGCAGGTTTCAGGATTTTAAGTTAATTTAGGAATAATCACAGCGCACTGTCATCTGCGATGCGTCTGTCTCACGGCCAGCTCCCAGGTTTGATTAATACTTTGTAATAAATACATGAATAAAGCACAGTCATACTCAGTTTTGCCCCCGCTGTATTTTTAAATACGCAGTAGAGGTATTTAAAGGTAGTAGAGGACATGTACCGGTATATAAAAAATGCGCCCTATAGTCCGGTGCGCCTTATGTGTGTGTTAAATACAGAAATGGGACACATAACTGAGAGTAGGTACGGTGCACCTTATGGTCGTGAAAATACAGTACTCTTATTTTTCTAAAGGCTCTTTGTTGTTATACTTTCTCATAGAAAACTAGAAATAATGTAAAATGAGTTCCAATCACTAGAACTGGGAATATATTTTGACATCTAAAAGAGATTTTATCGCATAATTGCTATTCAAATAGTGGCATTTCCCCTACATTAAGTGCAACAAACATTTTCACATCAATAATGTTAAGTTTTAAAGCTCAAAGGGATAGAACTCTGAATTTTCTGTACTGTTTTAGCCTTGCTGTTTTCTTCTGAAAGTCTTGCTCTCTCTCGTTGCCTGAATGAACCAGACATGTCTTAATCCATCATAAATAAATAGGTTCCTTAAAGAAACTTCCTAAAAGTGCCCACCGTTCTCAGCAGCAGAGACAACACTGTAGAGTGTTGTTCCAGCAACCTGGTAGGTCTTATCTAGGGTGTATTTACTCACCCATTTTTCAACCAGCCAGTCATCAACCATGGCTGAACAACCTGGAAACGGTCACCATTAGACTTTTCTGAGCATGACCATATCACTGTTCTTTAAATTACTTAAAGCAATCATATAAATAACTGTGAATACATTATATTCTTTAACATAGTGCCAATGTTAAAAAAAAAGTTCAATGATTCATAGTTTTTTTATGTTTAGACTGCCATTAGTTCATCCTGTGAGTTTAAAAACCTTCTTTAGTGGCCAAACAAATAAAAACCAGCCTGAAAGTGGAGAGGTATGAGAGGGCAGCCAAAGAGCAAATAAAAACGTTAAAAGACCTCCAGAGAGCCTGAAGATATACTGATATGGACTACTTAGAAACAAATGAGGAAAAAAATCACTCCATGTAAGCAGAATACATAAGACTACAGAGACTTAAGACTGTAAAATAATGTAAATACAAACTGCTTTAAGAGAAAAAAATAAAAAGGTTTTTCATACTGGCACATTTTCTTTTTATTATAACTGCAACCTGGACAGAGTTCAACTTAATGTGTCAGCAAGTGATGGCAGCATCTATGTAAGCCTTCGGGAAAACAGAAGCTGTCTGCAGCACAACCAACAAGCAGGAGAGGGCAGCTAGAAACACAAAAACAACACTTTCTGTGAGTCCGCTACAGTCGTGCAAACAACTTATTTCAGTACTTAGACAGTGACAGAATGATGGGTTATTTTGAATGATGGGTCATGCAGCATTTAGCTGCACGGATCAGCCAAACTGGTATTCACTTGAAAGAGCATCAGAGAGAAACTATGACTCAGCGAAGCTCAGGGCACCAGGACCAAGAACCCCTTGTCCTCTGATGCCTCCATCACCACCAAGCACATCACCTCTAGGCACGAGGCATGTGAGCAGGGTGAGAGGGTGACACCAAGCTGGAAAAGAGAGTGACAACAGGACTTATCCGTGTCACATGCCAAGGCTGACACCCATCTGCAAGCGCTCGCCAGCCTCTGGCCTCCACCACACTCATCATCCACCACCCCCGCTCTCCCTCCACCTCTTCTCACTGCCGTGACTTGCCTGGAGTGGGTACAGATGTGTGATCTACAGACGCTCCCACTCTGGAGCCCTTATTGGTGCCACAGGGTTTAACAAAGACTGGCTTCACGAGCTCAAGGCCAGAGAGTCACTGCACACAGTCACATCATTTCCAGGCAATTTTATGAGGGAGACTGAGGTGTTACAGCATCGCACAGAGCTGACATGATGGACCGTGATTAAACTAACCCAAAACCACAGCTTTAAATCAAAAAATCAATTCTGCTCCTGTTGCTGAATTCGTGGTCTAATTCAATTTTAGAAATTTCAGCAAATTAAATATTTAACCGTTCCTCTTCTTCTTCATCAAGGGCAATATGATAGAAATGTATCTTATATCATAAAACAGCCCTGGGTAAATTTAGGACAGTGATATGACTGAGGGATTGATTAAGCCTATCTGACAGCAGCTCAGCTGAAATGTCCCATTGCTTCTATAATGAGACTGTCAGAAAAATTATATTCATCTCTGGAAATGGCTTTTCTGTTCTGGTCTCTGCACCCTGCTTTGGGAGAAACCACACAGCTGCATATCTGGAGCGTTTAGTGTTTACATAGCATTCAAAAATAAACAAAGCCAGAGCAGAGGCGTAGCTAGAAAATCCTAATAGAGGTGGCCAGTCAATAACCAATGTACATTGAGGGGTGGCCGAAAGACACCAGAACCTCAGGGTCAATCTACACTGTTCCAACAGGAATGAGCACAACATCCATATTTTCCGAATAAAGACAAACTATATTTTCCTGCAGCCTTTGCTAACAAATAGACGCACATATTTAAACATCTATGCCTCGTGGACAAAATTCTTTCAGGTTTGAGTTCTGAGGCGGACATAATTCAGTTGTCATTACCTACTTTTATCAATAATTATTCTGCAAAAAAAAAAAAATTTAAATCTACTAATATCCACATTTAATGAATTTTTATGTTATTATTAAAGTATTTATTTATCTCAGATTTCACTGAAGACTCCTAGATGACTTGCAGAGGCTCATCATTTTATCTTTACCCAAAATAATTCAAAATTTAGTTCTGAAAAGAGCATGAATTCTGTATCTATCATCTTTAATGTTTATATATTGATGTGCATAATTAACTACAGTGTTTCCGTTGTAAAGTAGTTGTTAATATATAAAAAAAAATAAAAAATTTTAATAGGTTTGAACATTCCCCTTAAGAGTATTACTGTAACACCGTCTGTGTTAAGTCGGGTGTTCACTGTGCGATTTTCGGGGAGATTTTCCAGTCGTGCGAGAATTTTTCGATCGTTCCAACTTTCAGCCTGATGGTGCATCGTGTAGTGTACAGGCGGTTACGAGGGGCAATCAGCTTCTCACGACCACGTCCTGATCAGGAATCGTGAGGTCAGGAATCGACCGTCGTGGGCAAATCGCTCAGTGTGCGTGCGCAAACAAGGATTCTTGTTTTTCTTCTTCCTATCAGATGTAAACACAGGTGCATGGCGGGGGTGCAATGAGTAAAATTGATTTCTTTCTGTAAAATTAAGACCGTAGTAGCCACATTTGCTCAGCCATGTCTTTGTCCAAATACGTTGTCGCCTTTTCTTTTTATGGCTTTCAGCGCCAAATTGCACAAATTGCTAAGGTAGAGCGTTTCATTCTAGTGAGCTTCATATTCCCCTTCTATTTGTTTTGATTCCGGATAGAAAAGTCAGAGCAGCTCCATCTCACTGTGGAGCTGAGTCCGACCTTGTTTTTAGTCGTACAGTGTGACCAGGTAGATCGCATGAGAGCATCGGGCCGAACATCAATCTTTTGCCCTGCGGTTTAGTCGTACAGTGTGTTGCGGTAGCTGCGTGCAACGATTGAAAAAAAAAATAACAAAGTGTATGCCCGGCTTTAGAGGGAAAAAGTGGTAGGGCCATGGCCACCCCAGGCCCTCCATCTAGCTTCGCCCCTGAGCCAGAGGAAACAAAGCCTGTAGGCTATGTCTGCAGACATGTATACAATCATTTGATCAATGCAGTATGAAAAAAAGCTAATTCACTTCCTGTTTCTTGTTAAACCACCAACCACAGCATGCTGCAGAACTCTGCATAAGGAGCAGTTACTTCCTGCTCCTCCCTCCCTCCTCACCTCTTTGACTTTCTCCCGGCGGTCATTGGTTTTGGGGTCAGCCGGCCTCCCACCATCTCTCCCCAAAGCAGGTTTGGTCAGGCACCTTTGAAACTTCTTGAAATTAAAAGTATCCGAGTTGGCATCGTTGTCACCGCCAGAGACTCCCCCCAACAAGGAGTCCGCTCTGGACCTGGATAAGCTCAGGTCCTCCTGAGCTTTGCCTCCTGCCAGCCGCTCCTCCGTGGCTTCATTAGAGACGGATGGTTTGCGGCTCTTCAGCTCTCCTTTACCAGAGGCCAGGCCCCTGCTGCGCTCCACATCCTTGGGTCTTTTCAGGTGCTCCCTGACATCGTTCTCGGACCCTGAGCCGACGGTGACCGGCTGCGCTTCTGTCTTGGAGAGGAAAATGCGCTTTAGTCGGACGGAGTCCGGCAGGAAGAAGAGGGCTCCGAAGCAGAGAGTTACTAAACCGGAGAGGAAAAGTAAAAATACAAACTTCTGGGACAGGCGCAGACCCATGCCCGATGATGACACACCGGGCAACTTTCGGAAAATCATTGAAAGTTTGATTTGAGGCTTTACAGAGGAGAAAACGCCGTGCTTTGGTTAAAGCGCCTCTGCTGCCTCTGGGCTGTTGTAAAAAAAAAAAAAAAAACTAAATATGCTGGACTCCAAACACCCCCAGTGGCTTTATCTCGCTATCGATTGGATTTGCATAAGTGAATGCAAGAACTGCCTCCTCCTACAGCTCTGGTATAGAAACGTGGTAACATGAAGGAGGATGTAACGTTAATAATAAACATAAACACAGAGCTTTTAGGGCAGATTGTTTATTAACACTCCAAGGTGTAGATTTAAAAGCTAAAAAAACAAACCCGCCCCTAAGTGAAATGCCTTCTTAATGAGATAATGCTGTCTGAGAGGCCTTTGAACAAAGTTGGGGCTCAGTGCGTTATTATTCCCCGCCGCTCAGATCGTATCCTTCGGTGCGAAGCGAACATCTCACCATCCTACCCCCGGTCCCTGCTTCCACATCCTCCCCCCCCCCCTAACGCTTCTCTTCCGAATATCGGTTTGTTTTAAGACAGATTCCGCGCCGCTTTGTTCGCCTCTATCCCCAATCAGCTGGTGGACGGAAACGCGTGGATAAACATGTCTCCTGCGTATCTGTCACTTGCGCTCCTCCAGCTGCCTCCGGTTTCCCCCCTCTTCGTCGTCAAATCGCCGGGTGGAGGTGGAAGAAGAAGGCGGGTTCTGTCCCATGTGAAGTTACCCCGATCCAAATCCGTGTGAGAAACAAAATCCACCATCCAATGTGCCGGTTTGCAACAAAAGGCAGGGAGGGAGGGAGAGAGAGAGATGCTGCTGCCGCGTCGTCGCTGCGCGCTGCCCGCCGCGCCGCTCTGGGATGCGCACCCTCGCTGTGCCGCGGACGTCTGCTTGCGTCGAAATTTGAGAGGAGAGAGCTGGAAATGTAACATATAGGGCAGACAGGGTGAGGAAGAGAAGAAATTAGGAGGAGGGGATGCGAAACGGTCCGCTGCGCGACAATCCAGTGGGCTGGTCTGATTTCTTGATGGAAATTCACAGCGGCTTATCACAACGCGCTTAATCCGTTTGATGAAAATGAGAGAGGTCTGAATGGCTCTGCTTGCTGGGACGATATCTACTCTACCGAGGTCTGATTAATCCAGAAAATCTGAGGTTATGTCTGCATCTGCTGCAGATGTTTGTCTCGCATAACAAAAACAAATGAATGAGCTCCGGGTCGATTCACTCTTTTGCCAAATTGGAACCCAATTTCTTATCCACGGGTTGCCATTTCGTCCCTTGTTGGCATACAAAGACAAAAAAATATATGCATGATATTCCTGTATGCATATAACTGTAGGTCACAATATTATTTTTTTCTGAAATTATGAAGATGTTCTTAAATTTCACTGAATCTTGCATACAGGAATTTCCCCAAAACGCCCTACAGGTGGATCAGTGAACTAGAATATTGCCTGAAAAAGGACTAAAGTATTCTTATTAATTTTTTAAAAAAGCATATAAATACATCACACAGGTTCATTATACTGAACCCTTCACTGCAAAAACTATCTAGAAATCAGCAATAATGTCCTACATTAAGTGTATTTACCATTACTTTGAGTTGTTAAATAAGATATTTGCCAATGGAAGGAGTATTTTTAGTCTTAAAATAAGATAATTAGATAATATGCACTTGAAATAAGATAAGGCAATTGTTTTTTTTTTTTCATATTTTAAATGTAAATTGGCTTGTTCCATTGGCAAATTGTCTCACCTCCTCAATTCAAGAAAAATTGCACTTATTTCATGAAATAAAATGCTTATTTAGATTTCAATTTTTTGCAGTGTTGATGTAAATTATAATAATTTACATCAACACTGCAAATGGCCAATTTAATCATTATAAACAGAAATATCGTTACAGTCACAAAACAAAATGACATGTGGAGGACCACTGGCCTGACAGAAAGTTGATAGGAAGGAAAAAAGTGTTTAAATAAAATGGTGCAAATGTGATAAAGATCTCTACTTTGCTCATTTAATAATTTGAAGAGTGATTCGGGAGATGGACTGATTGTTAGTGCTTTAAGATGGCATTAATAGATGCATCTAAGAAATGGGTGCTGTGTTATCCCCTAATTTACACAGCTTATGCTTTGCCCAGCTGTAACCTGTGGAAGAAATATACTAAAGTTATAATCAGTAGTGACATGTCTACAGAGAGCAGTTTGGCCATAAGCATGGGCAGCATTGTTGTGCAGTTTGTAGCTCTGTTGCTTTGCACCAACAACAATTGGGGTTTGATTCAGAGCCTACGGTCTTTATGCATGCAGTTTGCATGTTCTTTCTGTGCAAGCGAAGGTGCTCTCCAGCTTCTCTGAGTCCAAAAGCATGACTGTTTGGGAGATAGGTTACTCTAAATAGCCCCTAAGTTTGTGTTTTTATAGTTTTATTCTCTGTCCTGTGATTGACTGGCAACTTGTCATGACTGTACTCTGCCTTTTGCTCATATACTGCATTGACTCCAGCCTCCCATGACACTAACAGACAAGTGAGAGAAGATGGATGGATATAATCAATAAGAGCATTTATAGCATCTCAACAGGGTGCCATATTTTGATTGTCAGACAGCATGTGCTTCATCTACACCGTTACGCTGATGATACTCAGCTTTATTAATCCATAAATCCTGATGAAACTAACTAATTACAGGGATCACAGGCATGTCCTGAAAACAAAAACCTGGACGACTCCAAACTTTCTGCTTTTGAATGCAGACAAAACTGTTGTAGTTATTGTCTTTAGAACAGAGTCATTGAAAAGTAACTAAGAGCTGAAATGAATGATGAAAATAAAAGTTTTATTTTTCCTACATTAGCTTCCTGCTGAATTCAGAATAGAATTTAAAATCCTCCTTGTCATGTATAAAGCCCTAAACAACCAAGCCCTGTTGTATACTGGAGATTGGATTGCTGCATACATTTCTAACAGAGCACTTCACTCCTTTTCTGCACATTTACTTGTGTTTCATAGAATTTCTCAAATCAGTTTTTAGTCCTGAGGCTCTTTCCCTTTAAAACCAAATACAGGTGAGTGAGACATCATGTCTGCTTTTACGACTTGACCTTAAAGGTTATTTTTTGATAAAGCTCAGAGTTAAAGGGGCTCAGGTTATCCTGAGATACCTCAATAGTTATGCTGCTATAGGCCTAGGCTGCTGGAGGACATAGGGACCACTTCACATAATTCTGCTTTATTCCTGCGCAATTTCTCAGTCATCCAGGTCATACCTATTATTTAACAGGCTTTAATTGGAAGGTAATCATTCTTTTGCTCAGGAAATACACTCATACATGAGGTTATCGTTCACAAATTGTAATGCAACATGTGTAAATTCTCATTAATCCAGGCATGGCAACAACAAAATAGGCTTTATTTGGAGGGACACCATACTTTCGAGTCCTGTTTTGTAATTTCAATTTATTCTATCTCCGTTCTACAGTATTTATTAGTTCAGCTGCTAATGGTGCGATCACACCACGTGTGAGACCTTAGATAGATGATTCTGAATTGGCAGACATTTCATTTTAGCTTTTGCTGAGAATTTCTTTTTTTCCTTAACTTTTCAGACCATACTATTAGGAGACTTGTTTCTCGTCTGGTGATAATAAGATGTTAACAAGCTGCATGTCTACAAGGTCTCCAAATACATGATGCATTCTGATAAATCACACATTACATGAGCTCGTGCAATGAAGCTAAAATAGTTTTTTGACTTCAGTTGATCTCCATTTGATCTGCTGTTTCTGTAGCTGTAAATCTCTCTACATGGCCGTTATTTATGGCTTTAAATATTTCAGGCACTACTATGAATCTGAAATCAGTGACGTGACTGAACAGCTACTGAGTTCACACCATCTCTGCAGCTTGCATGCCGACATCTCCATCAATAAACCAGCATCTGCTTCTAAGGAGTATCTAGTGTTAAAAGAGCCTGTAGTTATTGTTTGGAACCCTGTCCGGTTTTATCGTTGAAATTCTAATTCAGAAAAGCTCAGACTGAGCACATTGAATCATGATATCGAGTGGTCTGGCCAGCACACAATGTTCAGGCCAAAGAGTGAAATAGAATTAGAAGAATGTGTGTCTTTAAATTCTATTTGAGTTAGGAGAACAGAGGGGGGACTGTAAACATCATGTTTTCTCATGATTAAATAAGATAGATGGGCAGATAAATTGTCCATTAGTGAAAAGCCTGCACAGCAGTATTGCTTCTAAAAGCAGTGAGCTTTCAGGCACATCAAGGCCTTTATCTTTTTTTTTCTGGAACTGAAAATCAATTCCAGATCCTTCATCTAACCCCAGTAAACCACCCGAAGGCTTTATAAATACACCATATAATGTACACAGTCAGTGTCACTGATGTCCGTGCTATTTTCTAAGATGTATGATAAAACTTTGGGAACCAAGCCACCAGATTTTCCTCTTGCTTTGTTGTTAAAATGTTTGAAACAATACTTGACTTTCCTTGGCCTTCCAGGTTAGAAATCACATTTAACAGATCTTATCATATCCTAAAAAGAAAAAAAACCTCCAATAGAAGGCTTGAGTATCATCTAACGAGGGAAAAAACTCCTCCGGCGTTTTCTCACTGTTTTTCTGTCCCAGTCAGGTACATATTCAAGGAGGAACTAACTTTAAGGCAATTCGTATTTCATTTGGGTCTCTGTTTTCACCCGTCAGTGCGCCGGCTGCTTGTAATTCAGGGAACAGAACAGGATAAAGCAGACACGATTGTTGAATTAGTCTTTTTAGTTTGGGATGTGGCAGCGTTTCCTCCTAGAGAAGGTACATCTATGAAGCATTTACTCAGTTTATCAGCGACAAAATGACTGTTTGTATTCAGAAAAAGTCATTTTGTGGAGGTCTATTCTAAGAAGAATATACCTTGAGTTTATTGAAATTACTGTTTTTTTATGGGATACATAATCTGCATCTCAAACACATGATTAAGGGTTTTAGGAAAAGTATTAGGACTGTTTTAAAAACTGTTACATATCTGAGCTTAAATCTCAATCATATACAGGTGCTGGTCATAAAATTAGAATATCATGAAAAAGTAGATTGATTTCAGTAATTCCATTTAAAAAGTGAAACTTGTATATTATATTCATACATTACATACAAACTCATATATTTCAGATGTTTATTTTGTTTAATTTTGATGATTACAAATGACAACAAATGAAAATCTCAAATTCATCATATCAGAAAATTAGAATATTACTGAAGACCAATAAAAACAAAGGATTTATAGAAATGTTGGCCAACTGAAAAGTATGAACATGAAAAGTATGAGCATGTACAGCACTCAGTATTTAGTTGGGCCTCCTTTGGCCTGTATTACTGCAGCAATGCGGCGTGGCATGGAGTCGATCAGTCTGTGGCACTGCTCAGGTGTTATGATAGCCCAGGTTGCTCTAATAGTGGCTTTTAGCTCTTCTGAATTGTTGGGTCTGGTGTATTGCATCTTCTTCTTCACAATACCCCATAGATTTTCTATGGGGTTAAGGTCAGGAGAGTTTGCTGGCCAATTAAGAACAGGGATACCATGGTCCTTCAACCAGGTACTGGTAGCTTTGGCACTGTGTGCAGGTGCCAAGTCCTGTTGGAAAAAAGGAAATCTGCATCTCCAAAAAGTTGGTCAGCTGCAGGAAGCATGAAGTGCTCTAAAACTTCCTGGTATGTGGCTGCGTTGACCCTGGACCTCAGAAAACACAATGGACCAACACCAGCAGATGACATGGCACCCCAAACCATCACTGACTGTGGAAACTTTACACTGGACTTCAAGCAACGTGGATGAAGTGCCTCTCTTCTTTTCCTCCAGACTCTGGGACCTTGATTTCCAAAGGAAATGCAAAATTTACTTTCATCAGAGAACATGACTTTGGACCACTCA